TGGATGGAGGAGAAGATCCCAGTTATTGTTGCAACCATCAGTTTTGGAATGGGAGTAGACAAAGCAAACGTCAGGTGTGTAAGGCTGTGTTGTGCACCACCAGAGCCTGAAACCTGAGCAGTGGAAAGAGAAAGCCTCAGTCTCTCTGTTACCTGATACACCTGACTAAAATGCCTGATGAACACTTGCTAAACCCCACAAAAACAGAGCTGGAGTTTTTTTATCTTAGAAGCAGCAAAAACAAATCTGGAAGGGTTTTGTAAAGAAATTAAAAACAAGGCACCAGAGCTCCTCTTTGCCAGTCATCATCAAAGCCAAGAAAATGGGAGGAATGCTTGGTTTTTGCCACACCCTTCAGGATTTCAAAAAGAGCCATCTCAGTGCAATCACAGCTGTCCCTTTCACTTCTCTTAGTGCAATAGCTGCTGTTAAAAAGCAGTGGGAAGGAAAGCTGCAACTCAAATAATTCATACACCCTCTACTAAAATAGTCAGAGCCAGCTTTTTTTAGAGATGTCCTTTTGCAATGCAATGGGGAAAAAATAGTAGTTCACAAATGGCAATAACCATATAAAAAAAATACAGCTCTAGTCCAAGGACAGAAACTTTGCACATGTTTGCAATTGCTGTTCCTCTGGGACTTCTAAAACTGTCACCGTAATTGCTCTGTGGTGTTAGAATTCCTGCACCACAGTATAGCTGTGCTGAGTTAGTATTGTGAGCTGTGATCAGTTAGTAGAGGGATAACTCAGGTGCAGCTCACACAACACCCCACACAGACCTGGTCTTTACTCTAAAATCCACATAAAGTAATTGCTCTGAACGCTGTGGGAGAGGAGCAGGACATCATTGAGACAATCACATCAGTTCACAACTGTGCCATTTTTCTGTCTGTGTCACTGTGCTGCCAGATAACAGGATCCCATAGCAGTGACAGACTATTTTACTGCTTGATGCATGTTACCCAACAGAGAAATGAGAAGTATCCTAGGAAAGCAGCATAAATTAATGACCTGCTGAAACCACTTTGCCCTGTTCAGTACAGTAGTCATTAAAAAAAGGCAAAGAGTAACTGAAATGCATAGGGCTGATTGAGTGTGAAATATAGCTGAAATATGCTTGTAATATAGTTAGTTTCCAAGGAATGGAGTTAAAATGGCTCTTTACAGGATGTTTTTTAATAGTTTAAAGGACTTTATACCCAAGCCCAGGCAACAAGGCACTGCTGCTTAGCCTTCACTCTATCTCAGCAGAGTTCTGAGTATTCATGCATACGTTATCAAGTAAGATCGGGTCTGACTAGTTCTGGAGGTGACTCTTCTGTACAAAAGGGAGAACAAAGTTGTCTCTTTTTCTGATGGGATCTGCTCCTTTCTGTTCACTGCTACTTCAGTTTTGTTTGAGATTATTTATCAATTCCTTCAGTAAACTTCCTGATGGGGATTGAATGTGTAGGGGTCTGATGCTTCCTGCCTGGCCTGTTCCTGGAGTATTTGTGTTTGAAGAAACATGTTTGCTTGCTTTTGTCATTTAATCTTTTGCCACACCCATATGCATCATACCTGCCTCTGGGACATGCTGGTTTTGAGGCAGACTGGTATTTAAAACATTGGCAGCATTACTGTACTGTAAAATCCTCTCAACACAGATATAAGCTGAATTGCTGAATAGTCAAGTACAAGCAGGTTTAAAGCAGTCTTGCACTGGTGTGTTGAAAACCTTCCTTCAGAGATTACATAAAGTTTAGTAATGATTCTAGAGTCATACTTGCTGGCTAGGAAGGATGCCTTCATCTACAAGTGAGCTTGGTGAGACAGAATTACCCATGCAGACTTTGTTGGCAAAGAAGTGTCTTTTTAAAATTGAGTATTTCAAAATGTGTTCTGTAATGTTCAAATTGTGTTCCACAAAACAAGTAGGACTTCTTTATTTATGCTGTATTTTATGGTAAAATCTCCCAGACTCTGTAAATCAATGTTCTTATTTTCAGTCTTCATAGCTGTACAATTGTATACACATTTGGGATATTCATGTGCTCATTCTTTTCTGTCCATTTGGACTGGCATCCTGCTCACATGTTGTTCAGGTGCATTTGTTTTCTTAGAGCTCTGCTGCTTTCCTTGTGTCTCGTGTTAAGAGGGCTTAAATTTCTGTGTGCAGGATCCCTTGCTCTGCTAAATCCTCTGTCTTTTATGCTTTTGCTGCCCTATTTTTTACTGTTGTTGTCCACAAACAACACAATTATGTATGCAGTGATCTGAAAAACCTGCAGCCTTATGTTTCCTGTTGTCTTATCACATGCAGATTTGTTGCCCATTGGAATATTGCTAAGTCAATGGCTGGATATTACCAGGAGTCTGGCAGAGCTGGAAGAGATGGGAAGCCATCCTGCTGCCGCCTCTATTACTCAAGGAATGACCGGGATCAAGTCAGCTTCCTGATTAAGAAGGAGCTCTCTAACATCCAAGTAAGATCTGCAGAATAGCATCCACCTGCCTAGATATGCTGCCTTTGCTCTAATGTGGTTTGCCCGCAGTGATCTCTGAATAGGCAAAGATGAAATGAGTTTTTCTGGGTCTAGAGCTATCTGTAGCCCTGTTTCAAGGGATAGCAGAAGGGAGCGAAGCAGGAAGGGAAGAGTTGCCAGACCCAGCTCCAGCTCTATTAGAGGCATGGGTGAGCAGAAGTGTGGAGCAGAGACAGGGTGGTGTCGGTGCCTGTTTGCCATATTGATCAGAAGGGTTGGATTTGGTCATCACTATAGTTTCTTTATCTGTTTATATTTAAATTGAAGTCTATAGTTATTGTCTCTCTCTACTTTCAGGAAAAAAAAGGCACCTTAAAAGAATCTGACAAAGCTGTGATGACAGCTTTTGATGCCATTGTGAACTTCTGCGAGGAGCTGGGGTGAGTGCACTTCTTTCAAACACTGTTTAATATTGGGGAAACCATGCCCTGTTCCTTCCGAGGCACTGTTATGTCTGAGATCTTGCATGTCCAGGAAAAAGAAAATACTGAATGAATTGCCTGATATTTTGCTGTCTGGACTGAGGACGGTGTTCCTGAGACATCTCTTACTCCCACCTCTGAGTTAACAGAAATGTTGGTCTTGGAGCCTGATCAAGTGATGTGGTGATGTTAAACTATAACTCCTCTGGCTATGAATTTTACTATGTTCTATCTTTGATGATAGGTTGACTTAGTTGTATTTGCTTTTGTTATGACTCTTTCCTCCTTCATTACATTATCTCTCTTCTAAGGAGGCAAACGGACAGCCTAATCAGCATGGGATAGAAGCATTCAGATTTAACATTTAGAGAAATCTCAGGGGCTCCACTCTGCAAAGTACTAGGTATCTGTGATTCTCATTGACCTTAGAAGGAGCTGATGGTGCTTAGAATGTTTCAGAAACAGGCCCAAATTATGGATGTGCCCAATCTAAATGCAGACTAGCAACCGCAACATGCATTGTTCAGGTTTAGTTCATGACTTGTAAGCTGTAATTGTACTAATTGCTATTCTATGCTGGATAAGACATCAAGCTATAATTTTGCCAGTAAGAGAGCAGTATGTGTTCACTAACTGCAAATGGTCAATATATGTCTTGTTTTCAAGTGTGAATTTTGTTTCATTTTTCACACCTGTGTCTAGGGCAATTTTTCCAGTGTGAATGCAACATATGCTTCTTTTCTGATGCCTCGGTGAGCATATTCTCTCCTTGTGGTCATGTTTGATAAACAAATCCTGTTTTTATAGGGTTGCTCTGGGAAAGTCTTGCTTGTATTGAAGTATGGCACAACATTGAGTCCTGGGGCACTTGGAGAAGCACTTCTTTGCCCAACGTCAAGGTGATTCTGGGAAGTAGCTACGAGGAAGCTTCTTGCTATAAGACTTTGATTTGCTTACTTGGCTAAGCAGCTCAGCTCCTTCTGGTGTGTGTTACCAGCTCACAGCAAGAGTGACCAGATGGCTGTTTGTGTCTGGGTTTTGTATAATCTGAGTGGCAGCTGTATCTATCTGGTCACATGCTAACCTCAGAAAACCCTGTCTTAGTATCTATTACTCCTTGATTCCTAAGCTGGTTATCAGTAGAGTTAGTCGTGACAGTCATTTCTTGGAATGGACACTAGTGCCATGAAAACTGCACTGGGATCACCGAACTAACCTTGCACAAGCCAGAAGTAGTCACAGGACATTCCAGGGTGGTGTCCCTGTAAGGGTATAAGTTAGGCTCCATGTAACCATCTTACGGCATCTCCCACTTCATGCATGCTGTAAAGAGCCTGACTGCTTCTGAAGTGAGAACCTTCTCTAGAGTTGTACTGCAGCAGTGATGCAATAACCAAGCAAGGACAGACAGAGAACATTCTCCTTTGCTCAGATGAATAGTAATGGAAATAGGATTTCACTGGGTACATAAAAGAGAGATTTCTGTAAGGGAATATCACTGACCTAATTAGAAATAATGTCTCCTGTACTTTTTCTTTCCTCCCCCAGCTTGGTATGTTCTTCCTAATGTATAGCATGCCACATACATCCCAGAGTCATATATTGCAGCACCACTGACTGGCTTCCCTGCTCATAACAGTACAGGAGACTAAGATGCTACATAAAGGAACACCAAGTTGCATTTCTTTTTTACATTTTGAATTATTACAGTTCTATTCACTATTCAGACAGTGAAAGCAAGCCTGAAACTCTGACCTTGCAAGGTTCTAAATAAGAACAAATAAAGACAGACTTGTATATTGGCAAAGCACGTTTTTGCATAGTATATTTAGGCTATTGTTCGAGTATGACAGGAGAACAATGGTATAAGCTGCTTTTAGAGAGTGGATTTAGACAAAGATTTTGCTGGTCAGAGTTTCCTCTTGCTCATTTGCAAGATGGAAAAAAACCCATGTAACTGCAGCAGTGGAAGACACCTTTATCAGTTTTAGGTGGTGGCTGACCATTTGCTACCCTTAACCAGTGGTTTGAAAAGATGAAAATCAGGCAGAGATGAGTTGACTTTGCTATTTGGCTAGTCGTGCAGTTCCTGAATACAGATAACCTTACGTATTGAGTTTGCTGTGGACTTGCAGAACAACTTGTTGGCATTGGTGCATTGCTCTTGATGCAAGGAAGTTGCATGGGGAGAAATAACCAGCCAGGGAGAGAAGATGAGAAAGCTTTCTATGAACACCACAATCAGGTTGTAGCTGGGCTGATTCTTGCTTAGCTGCAGGGCTCGAAGTACTGTGTCTCAGCTTCACTGTTTATGCACCACTCTGTTTGTGCCTTGGAGATGAACAGCACCCAAAGATGGCAGCAAATAAGAGGAGAGCAACAAAAACAAGACAGAAGGTGCCGATCACCACTAGCCCTCCGAGAGACCAGTCACTTGTTACAATCAGTCTCTTTAGGTCTTCCAGAACTGAGGATGCCTCTTGCACTGATGACATGCTGGCTTCCACCCTGCTGGAGGTAGACAAGAACAATATCAGATGTTGGTGTATCCTCTTGATGCTCTGAGCCACAGTCCCAAAACCAGTGTAGGCATGCATGTTGTCTGTGCCTGCAGGCATCCCTCTTCCAAAAGAGGGAGTCACCCTTCACAGAAATGGGAGTGTAAACCAGAAGAAAGATAGCTTGAGGCCAGTTTCACAATCAGATTTACAGAGATGTAAAGAGGAAAGCTTCTGGCTTTACAAGATTTTGGCAGTTGAAATCTATTTTAATCCTAGTTTATCAATATTTTGAATAATATAATACAGTGTCTCTCCCAGCATGTTCAGTATGAACCTTCATCTCTGTCAACTGTACAGCCTATACATGAAAGACAAGTATTCAGTGGGAGAACTTGCTTAATACCATTGGAAAGATCTCTAAAAGGGAGTTGGGGACAAACTCTGAGAACACACTGGAGATTAAATGAACACTTACTTAAAAACAGACAGAAAACCCCACCAACAACAAGCAAAGATCTTCACGTACAACTTGTTGCTCTCATAGGGCTTATAATAGTCTAGCTATTTAAAAAAGGTCTCCTCTTAACAGAGTTTGCTTTAGTAATGCTTTCTGTTGCTCTGAAGTAGAAGCATAAGTTTTCCTCCCATAGAGTACTTAGGTTCAGCAATAATTTAACTGGGATCTCAGTGGGTTCTACACACTTGCTTTTTCACTGATAATTTGCATAATGATTTGGCTATCAGCTTTTCAAAGAAAATCCAGCATCTCTTTGCTAGCATCTTGTGGTTTTACTAAAGCTTCTTTGTTTCTCAAGGGAAAGGATGGGTTGTTTCTCACACTCTCTCAAATATGACTGTGCAGACATTATACAGGAAGAGATCTTTGTTATTTTTGAAAATTTGACTTGCTGCCCCTTATGTCTATATCCTTAATATTGTAAGGAAGAGGATTAGTCATGTAAAGCAGGTTTCATCCTCAGCAAGTCACATTGGACTAGGAGCACAAGCTCACACTTCAGTTTGCTGAAGTTTTTTTTCTTAGCAGCCAAATATATTCAGTTCATGCTTTGTTTTGTGGAATAATGGCAGATCACCATGCCCAGTCTCTAACCAACAGGTATACAGGACATGAAAGCTGTTCTGGATAGCTTCCTTTACCTTTAAAAAAGGGGGCAGCCTAGATACTAGTTCTGTAGACCCAAAGGCAGAAACCCCGTGTGACTGTACCCTAAAAAGTTCCTGTCTCTTTTGCTAACCGCAGTCAACCTCCTGAAATAGGAGAGCTGTGTGCAATTTTATAAATACCTGAAGCTGTTGTGTTTGTAGCCGATGTTTCTTCTGGTGCCTTCTCTGCACACTCTCCAAGAGAGCTTAGCCTGTGGTGAGGGACCTCCTTACTGCACCTGGAGACTTGTAGAGCTAGTATGGAAGTTGCCTGTTTGTAGGGCAGTAAATGATTAACAGCTGACTTTCCTGCAAAGGTGTGGCTAATCTAATCAAAGGCTTTGAGCCTAGTGAAAAAGACCTAGTTCAGCTGTCACTCAGACATTTCTTCTTCTCTGTGGCTTTGTCTACTTATGTACCTGTTCCAGTGCTTGTAAAGGCCCATTATGTCCTCTAACTGGGGAAGGCTACGGGTTGTGGCAGAGAGAAGAGACTTTTCTTTTTCTGGATCCTGACTGGATCTGTATTGTAAGCTCCATTAGGAGGCTGCCATTTCTAAAATGAGACTGTGAACAAGACTGCCCTCCTGTCCAAACTTCATTGTGACAGTTTAGGTGGATAAACTCATTACAGAGCCTTGCACTACTGTTAGCTGCAATAAAACTGATTCCCTGTTACTTTCCTAACTGAAGAAGATCAGAGGGATGGTGCTGGAGAGAGGTGGGTGAGGAGAAGGAAGAGTGTGTGGTATGTGAGACTGTGTATGTATAAAAGGAAACTTGTTTTCCACAAGCCAAGCAAATCACTTTGAAACCAGAGGGATGATGTTACAGAATAGAAGCTATTCCATTAAGTCGTAAGTAAAACTTGAACCACTTCTGCTGGAGAGGCTGTCCTCACTGTCTCTTTTAGGTTCCTCAGGGAAAGAAACTATTTCAACACTTTTATCATCAGGACTGAAGTAACTATTCCCTGGCAGTTCCTTCTAGGCTCACTCAGGCTTTCACAACATGTACAGAAGTTGCTGTGTTTGAAGCAGTCTTGCCTTTGTGCTCTTCTGCATCTCCCTCTGCTTTTTGAAACACAGAGGATCCATCCTTACTAGTGCTTACGGCGTTCCAGATCCCTTTATGTGGGTAATGATTGAAGCCAAAACCACAAAAGCTTGTGTGAGTTGTGAGTGGGGACCTAAAGACTGACATGTTTCTAGTCAACAGAAACTGAAGAGCTGCAATAAGCTGGGGATTTGCTGGGCATCTTTCAGGCCAACCTGATCTGTTGCATGCAAGAAGGCAGCAGACCCCACCCAGCCCAGGCAAGTAATTGGCATATCTAAATACCAAGTATAGGAATAGTCCAGCTGAGTACAGTGGAACAAAGCACAACATTAGGCCTGTGAGGTCCAGGCAAGTATGTAGAAATCAGTCTAGGGACCCCTTCTCTATGTGATGGCTGCTCCTCTGGTCCAGAAAGCCACCTGAATTCTTTAGAGAATTGTTTAATTTTCTCTCCTTCCCTTTTTTTAACAGTGCTGTGTCCATTCTCTGTTTCTAATTCAGGAACTTACAGTAGCAGAGATAAAACAGGAGCCATTTCTCTTGTCCCCCTGCCTGGTATGTGTCAGTGGTTTAACTTGTAACACCACTGGAAAACATGTATTTGTAGCTTTTCCTGTTGAGATAAGGCCTGCCAGCTTGATCCTAGTGACAGCAACCTGTCAGTTGTTGGTATGTTTCCAGCCTGCTGAGCTTCCTCCTGACTGTTAGCACAGACTGGTTCCATGCTGCTGAAACATTTCTCAATGGGATTCTGTTAATTCCTGTAGTTGGCTGGCACTGTCTAGCACAAGCTGGGAAAGAAAGTAAGCTCTGTTCTTTCACAGGTCTTGTGACTTAGATACAGAAATGTCTGTTGAGCCCGGCTCCTTCAAAAGAGGTTCTGAGACTTGCTATGTCACCTTGATTGCCACTTGTTTCTAAGTGAAATGAGCAAAGATATATCTGACAAAGAGGTTAGTGTGATGCATCTCTGAATGTTGATTAGAGTAAATTGATACTACGCTTGAGCTTATCCTACCCTAACATATTGATTGGGAGTGAAAGCATTGGGACAGCATAATAAAGGCCAGCACTTTGTTAGTCTTAGTGTAACTGTGCATGCAGTAGCTCATACTAGTGCAGTCTTCTGTTAGCAGTTGTCAAGTTGGGGCTCAAATATTTACTTTCTAAGGAACACCCTCATCTTCTGCTGGAAAGTTTTCCTTTTATTAATTTAAAAGTAACATTGGTAGTTTGAGGAATTTTTTTTTCTTCATTTTTAGACTATTCTCTGTGTCACTGGCTACAGATATAGTCCAATGTACAGCAGTACAAAAATGCAAAGTACCTAAATCTAGTTTCTTTGCAAAAATTAAAGTGCATTAAATACATCACAAGCTACTGATGTAATGTGCTTTTTACTAATTTGGGTGCAGGCATCAGAGAAAAGAGGTTTCTTTACAAAGTTTTCTTTTTTTTTGTCCCTTCTGAAGTGTGAAGAATATTTAAAAGCCCACTGTTAATAAGCTTGATGATTCTATTCTCTCTAGTTAGATGTTGTCTGTGGTATATACATGTGTAAGCCCTTCAACTCCTCTACACTTAGCAGTTGTAATACAAGGGTAGAAGATGACTTATCTATATGCATGTAACTTTTTATACCTTCTCATAAAGGTGGTTGGTTTCACATTTGGGGCTGAAGGACCAGTGGCTTACAGAGTTAGTTGCAGTATGATGGTCTTCTGTTTGGCTGTCCCAGTTATGAAAGTCGTGGCCTCCGCCATAGCCTTGTACTTACATAAATCCCTTTCTGAAGTTCACCGAAGTGTAAACCAAACATACACAGTGGCTGCAGCATGGAAAAGGGATTTATTTGCACTTGTTAACTTCAGCCATAAAACCCATTCTTCGCTCTGCTTTGTCACAATGCCCGCTGTCAGCTGCTGCATGTATACCCAGAAGTGACAATTACCATACTGTATGTCACTCCTCTGAAATGCCTTTGTGTATGCTAATAAACATACCTTAGGCATAATGTTTATATCCACTAAAATAAACTGCACACAGTGCAGGGAGTCAGCCACACAGGTCCCTCAAGTAAGGATAGGGATCTGTTCATCTCCTGTAACTCTAATGCTCTGTAAGAACCATTCACCTGCAATAAGCAGAAGAGCAGAACCATGGTGGGGGGTGGGGAGGGAGCACGTTCAGCAGCAGAATGATCAAATTAAGCCGTAGCATTGGTGAGTTTTTCCCTTTTGCTTTCATCTTTCTGCTTACGAAGGGTATTGCACGTGATCTGATTTTTCTCTTTGGCAATTTCACATCACTGCAACACCAATGAAATAAAGCAGGGAGCATTTGTTACCAGCTGTACTCAGAGCCTCAGCCGGCACATCTGGATCAGAAGGTCCACAATTTGTTGTTTTCAGCAGACATCTCAGCTAAACATGTCTGTTGCAGGTGGCTTTAGAGAGAGCAGGTTTGGGCTTGATCCAAGATGTATTGAGCACATGGACCTCCCAGTGATGTCAGTGGGTTTTGCTAGCGCCCAGCATCATCCTTGTGGATTAGCCACTTGTGAAGAGAGTAGGCACTGCCTAGCATGTGGCAGTGTACGTGTTCTCTGCTTTGGTCTGTGGCTCCATGCTTACAAAGGGAATCCTTGGCTGGCCCAGCTGCAGGGCTGTCATTGGGAAAGCGTGTCTGTTTTCTCAGCAGCATGTGTCCATGCACACCACCCCCCCACACACCCCAGAAGAGGGAGACAGTGATGGTAAAGTAGCTTTACCTTTCTGGTCACACCACAGAGCCCAGTAGTGGTTGTCACAGAAAGAAGGAATTCCATGCTGTGATTTCTGGTCCTCTGAGTCATATTAATTAATATTGTTATTGCCATTTTCAGTGAGCTAGTGTAGAAGGTCACTCCCATAGGACTGAATCATGATGTCCATGCATGTCCTCGGTAGTAGGTTGTGTCACCTCTTGTTGCACTTCATGAATGGGCAATTGGGCGGACTTGGATCTTCCTACGTCTGTGGTCAGTACGTCCATCGCAGCTACAGCAGCTATAGCAGCAGCAACTGCAGGCAATGATCATGAGCAGCAGAACAGTAACTGGAAAGAGAAGCAAAGGATATTGCTTCATGATGTAGGAGCAATCACTGCAGAGTAACCCTATGTCTCTTCCAAGTTGTTTGGTGAGCAGCAGCATGAACAAAGCCTGGTTTCTTACTGATTTTTTTTTTTTTTCCTCTACATCCCCACCTCCCTCCTCCTAAGTTTCTGCTCCCTTCTATTAGTTATCCATTTAATCTGAACAATTATTACCAGATATTTCATGACTTTAAGAGCTATGTACCAAACCATGTGGGGGTATATCTTTACCTGCCTAATGGGCTGCTGTTTCAGAGATGACATGCAGTAACTAAGTAGAGCTGTGTGCCTGGAAAGGATGGAGATCCAAGTCTCCCATAGTTGTGTCAGAAGCAATATGAGAGGATTTGGTTAGTCAAATTGGCAGTTGCATTTCTGAAGAGTGTGTGCAGTGTACCCTTTAATGAGGACAGATGCTCGTGACTGGGTCAGTTTTACTCTTTCTTTTGTATTTAGCTTGAAAAAATAGATACTTCAAATGGAGGGGTTTGTTTCACAAAGCAGGGGGCTAACTTGCTATTATTCTACACTAGACATAATGGTTGGTGTTGGGAGAGATATGTTAGTTTATCTGGCATAGAAAAGGATGACATGTTTTATCCTGCAAGACACGTAAGAGTGTGTGAACATGCACGTGTGTGTGTGCATGTGTTCCTTAAAAGTCTGGAGCTGGGCTGCCAGGTTACCGGACCTGTGGGGAACCAGCTGTAGGTACTAAAAAAATAATGCAGCAGGTGCGTCTCTCTGAATTCCAGCCTAGGGAGGGGTGTCAAGGCTGGATACACACCCTTCCTTTTGGCTGGGAGCAAAGTGTACCTCTTTGAGGGGGAGGGCCTGCCTGCCTTCCTGCTTGTTTTCCCATTGTCTAAACAAACTTCACCCCCTATGATCAAGTAGCTCTTTGCTATTCCTTTCATGCCATCCCCACACAGCGCAGCAGGAGGGATCTTGCCATTACCAGAGGAGAATAAATAGGCTCATCTGAAGCATGCTGGCTTCCACTGAACTAAGCACAGGAATGACACTCAGAGTCTCAGACTTAAGGTGCCTTCTGTGGCAGTGAGATGCCCTAATACCATTTGTTGTAAACTATCTCCTATGCATCAAAACATTGCAGCAGCTCTAGGATGGTTAAAATACTGCTGTTTAAACTAATGCTTAAATATGAGAGCTTTGGGCAAAGCTATACTGTTGCCCACTGTGCTTTGCATGCGTGTAGAGATACACACCGAGTATTAAAAAATTACCTAGAAATTAAACTGGGCCTCAGAGCACAGCCTGGAAAACAACTGCCAACAACACCAACCCACCAACAAAGATTGTGGAGCAAGCTGCCCCTGTAGAAGAGACGAGACATTCTGACACCCCTTTGCCTCCACTGATAAACTCACCAATAAACAGAAGAACCACACAAAAGGACACGATCTCCACCGGGTCAGCCTTGGGCAGTTTCTGGAGCTTAAGGAGAAACTTCTCACCAATGGTTTGCATTTCCTTTAGAAAGCCTTCAGAAGACATTCTGGCTCAACCTCTCCAGGCTTTATGCTGTAGAAGAACCAAATAGAGAATAAACCTTTTCACTGACTAATGCTAGAAGCTGCCAGCCTTCTTATAGAGCTGGTGATCACAAGGAAAACAAGTTTATCTGGTCTCAGTCCTTGTTCCCAGTAGCTAAGGTGGAGGACTATTAATTGTCTACGTGTTCTGGCACTGTTTTAATTTCAAAATCTGGCTTTGAGGGTGCTTTTGTCAGCTGCACTCTTGAGCCAAGGCAGAACAGTGTTTCTTCTAAAAGGACACTTATTTCAGCAGGCATAGAGTTACAACTGGACAGTGCCTGCCCTTGGCTTTCACTCAGTGAAAGTCTTTTTTTTTTTTTTTTTTTTCCCAGCTGTGCTAACTTGTCCTTCCAGAAAGAAATGCAATTCTAACTTGACTTGGATTCCAAATGCTGAACTCCAGTGGTACATAGTTTTCAGTTGTTTTTTACTCAGTAATGCAAAGTAGACTCCCTTGAAGACTTCTTGCACTTTCAGCTACAGAAAGCCCCTTCAAAAACTAAGGCACTTACTTCAACACCTCACTGCAATACCATTCATAATGTTTTTTTTCAACTGTTTTTACTGAATAGTGATATTAAGAGCTAAAGTCTGTGTTCACTGGGGACAACTGGATGCTTTTCAAGTTCTTACAGATGAATGCAAGTTTTATATGGTAAGCTAAATGTAGCTTTTTTTCTTTTAAGCCACAGTCTGTTCTAATGGAGCAGTATATGAACTGAACAGTGGATGTCCACCCATCATTGCTGGTGATGAGCAAAGCAAAAGCCCCTGGATCTGTTGGGGAAATACCTCCCTGGTGGAACTAATCCCTCCTACCCTGCCCAGTAATCTTATACCTTCTTTATTCTCAGAAAGAATGATCACCAGGAACTATTGTTACTGAAAATATTATTAGTTTAGTCAAAGTTAGGTGCCTCAGTTTTGCCACCGATACTTGCTGTTCTTTTGCCCCGTGAGCAAGATTTTGGAAGGCATTGCAACAAACAAGCTTGCATGAGAGCTATGGAAGTTCAAATTCTGCTTCAGTCAGTAACTAGAATAGGATATTCTTGAGAAATATCCATAGTTTCACCTAAAATAAGTGTTGGGACAGGTCAACATATAACTCTTATATCTTTATTATATCAGAATGTACTAGCCTGTGTGTGTTGTAATAGTCAGCACTGTTTTATGGGACTTGAACATTGTGATTTAATATCCTATTCTTGGTGATAACACAAAGCCAAGTGACCAAGACGGTACTTCCAGAATAAGCCAGCTAGTTCATTACTGCACATCTGGTTTGGTTACTCAAACAAATGGATGCTTGGACTTCAGTTTTTCTAAACACACTGAGGACAGAGAGACCTTGGCTGTTTCTTTGCATGCTGGGCTTAAATACTAGAGTGCCAAGTTAAATTACATTTTGTATGTTTATGCAATTCAAAAAGGGTTTTCTTTGTTCTTTTAAATCCAAGCTAAGGAATAAAAATCGGAACCAGCTGGTTTCCTAGGGGTGGGGGTGGATGGAAAATCTACATCTACAGAAAGATCTCAGTGCAACTTAGCAGGGAGGCATAGCTGTGGCCTTTTGACCTGAAAAGGTCACTTTTGAGACTAGGGTTAAATAGTTCTTTCCAGATGACTGCCATACCCCAAATGAGCCACTCCAGAAATGGCTGCTTTATCCTTTGCACAGTGCTGTGGGATTCTGTGTCAGCAGGTTTCTAGTTTTGTTTCCATTCCAAGAGATGGCGGTGCAGGCAGAGGTGAAGAGATTTGTGTTTTCTGCTCTTGGCTGTAGAAGAAAAACTTTTTTTTAAAAAAAGTCTGTCTCTAACATTCTGAAAATGTTTGTTCCCTTTGGAGGTGTTTCTGCCTGCCCAGAAGCTTTCCTAGCAAGGAATGTGCTGTAACCTTTTGTACCATGCTTTGGGCTGCATGAGAAGCAGCAAGCATAAGAGCTAGGCTTCTGAAGTTTGGGTATACAGTGTAAAATTACTGATGAGGATTGTAGAACTCCACGTGGATTAGCAAAGTGCCTAGCCTAAAATGATAAGAGCTTGTCGCCTCAGTAATGGACACTCCTCTGCCCCATGGCACCTGATCTGGAGCTAAGTGAAGGAGGTTTTATTCTAAAACTTGCAAGGAATTTTGCTTGTTTACCTTGGTTTGAACTTCTTAATGGACAAAGTTTGATGTCGGTGGTGCAGTCTCTAACCTACCTGTGAGGAAGCAAATGTTTTTCTGCTCGACTGCACTTCTGACTACACACTGGTTCCAAGGGCTCTCACTGCTTTGGGATTTCTGCTTGTGGAGCATAGCAAAAGGGTGAAGAATAAATCACTTCTCTAAAAAAAAACCCCAAAAAACAAACAAAAAAACGTACACCCCCTCCCCCCCCAACAGCTAGTTATATTAATGGAATTTTGTATCTTCCATTCTACTTACAATATAAAGTCTTTGGTCAGCACTAGTTTTGATTGTGATCTTTTTCCAATTGATTTCAGCAGAACCGTGATCTTACCCTAGAGATCAGCATAAGGGTAAGGCTAGTGCTGTGTGACTTAAGTTGTCTTATGCATCTGCCTTATCTTCCTCAAGTACAACACAACAGTGATGACATTACTTAAAAATTTCAGAGTGGAGCTGTTAAGAATTAATTCCTTTTCTTTATTTTACTGTATTCAAGTAAGCTCCTAGTTACCGACAGTAGTAAAGGCCAGGTGGTGCAGGACATCTGGTTGAAGCAGTAACTGTAATGATTATTATTAAAATGGGCAAGTCTTGAGAAATTTGAAACTTAAGGTTGTAGGTCTTAACTGACAGTTTACTTTCCAAGACTGGAATCCTGTTCTAGAGCCTAGAACAGCCACCCAAGTTGGTACCTCACAGATTCTGGGGTTTGGAGCAAATATAATTGTCTGCCAGTCTTTTTCTCAATTGGGAATTTCTCCTTGCTCATTGTCCTTCCTCAAAACCACATCCACTGAGGATGGGAACCTTCCAGAGCAGAGGAGACATAGCTGTTAGGGCAGCAAAGCTGATGGAACTCGTCACAGAAGAAATGCTGAATGACCGTAGTGCAACATCATCTTCATAACGCTTTGTCAGACTCATGAACTTTTGCTCCGTAGCTGTAGCTAGAGATCATATGAAGTGAAAATAGGGTGAAGAGAGGCAAGATGAGAAACTTGAAAGAAAAGAAAGTGAACACAATGCTGATGTCTTGTGACAGGCAATTTGGAAGTTCCTGCTGGGGTGGGGTGGCAGCCTGAAATTTGTGGTTTCAGCTGTTTCCTCTTCTGGCTGTTCTTTAAAAAATAAGTCATCTATCAGGTGTTCCCAGTGGGACTAGATCATCAATCCTTTCTGCCCTCCTCTATGTTACAAGGCCTGGCAGGGGAGAGAATTAAACAAATCTTCTAATTTGGGTTTATTTGTTTGTGAGAAAAAAAAGGTGGAATCTGCCATTCACCATGAGTTGTTAGGCTTGACTGAAAAGAGAGAGCATAGTAATAATGCAGGGGGATGCCTGGTATCTGCAGGTGTGCAGCTCAGTTGCAAGGATTAGATGATCCTTTAAAACCAAAGAAACATCCTATGTTTAGGGCTTCTGTAGATTTAGATTCTCACAAAGTGCTAATACTTGTTTTTAATGCAGATTCATCTTGCTGTGCCCACTGAATAAAGCTGTGAAAATTGCCATAATAGCCCTGAAATTATCTTTCTGAACTGTTTTAATAGACTTATGCCATACTGAAGCACTCAAAGAAGTTGGCTGCTCAGCCCTTTTGAGAATAAAACCATTAAAAGGCCTCAATCTAGACATTCAAGAGAAAGGCCTTGGTCACAGTTTCTTTGTACTGTCAACAGGCTATGTGTGGTAGCTTCCAGGCTTCAAGCAAGAAAAAGAGCTTTCGAATGACCATGTAAGGTGGGGTCCCACATCCCTCATCCCATGTTCCTCTGTCTGCCTTAAGGTAGTCAAGTTGCTGAAGTGTTTTGGAATTGATGTAAATTGATCTAGGTTTTTTTGGTCTGTCTTTGGTTTGGAAAGCTGTATTCTGTGTGTCTACACAGGTGCATCAAAAGTTGAACTGTAGGGAGTGGGTGAGCTTAAATTTACTGCTGAGGAATGAGACACTTGTTTAGTCATAACCCTGGTGGCATTTCAGCAGCCTATTTCAGTGCAAAGAACATGAATTTCAGTTTGTGGTTTAGCCCCAGGACTGGAAGTTAGTAAATGCAGGCAGTCTTCCTGGCCTGCCAGTGATGTTTACTGGTTGTGTGACTTTAGATAAGTCATCCTATCCCTCTGCTGGGTGACTTCATCTCTGCAAAGTAGCAGAACATGTAACCACCATCAGAGGTTTGTTTGCTAATTGTTGTGTGTCCAAGTCTCTAACATGCTCTGAAATCTTTAGATAGAAAGACAGTAAGTCCCTGGTTTTGTTGCAGTTACAAAATGAAATGACCTTTGCTTGCTAACTGCTTGTTACACTTCAGTCACTGAGCCCATTTACGATGAAAGTAGATGAAAGCATGGCTTCCGCTTTTGGTTGCTCCTTACTCAGTCATGCCCTACAGGGTGTATTTCTCTTGACATGGCCTCCCAATCCATTGGTTTTACTGTGCTCCCTCTGCAAATTTTTGCCTGCATGGGTTTGTTGCTACAGTAATCTAAAAATGGAGACAAAGCTTTGGCGGGGGGAATCTGTTGGTGGTGCCTGGAAGCTGCCAATGCCTCTAGTCCTAATGCAGCAAGTCCCAGTGAAGGTGAGTTGGTTATCCTCCACTGTGCCCATTGCCTATATCAGCAGTGCTCAAGAGACCTTACAAAGTAGGACCTCCTTGATGTGCCCAAGCAAGCAGAATGCCATTGCAACGTTCTCATTGCAATGTTGACTTTTTCGCCAAGACTGTGGCTGTGGAGAAGCAAATACTTTGTGTTGCTTTTACTCCAAGTGAAATAAGTTGGTTGAAATTGGACCTGTACAGGGATGGGAAGCCTGTATGGACTGTGGTAGCTTATTTGGTAGGAAATCTTAGAAGGCAATCCCAGCTTCATGGAAGGAGAGTGCTGAGCAGCTGAAGGGGAGGGGGTGCTTTTTATTCTGGTCTAAAACTTCAAAATAAACTCTGATTGTGTTTGACCACTTTCTTAAGAACGTGAAGGCTTGGCCAGTTCCTAAGCCTGCCAGCTTTGTTCTTGGTTCCTGAAACATGCCTCTGATTTTGTATGGATAAGGTCTGCAATGCTTCCTGTCCTAAAACAGTGCTGGGCTGCTAGGTGTTATTACAGTTTAGATGCATTTTGGCAGAACGTGTAATAATTGCTGTACGATTGTTTATTGTTCTAAGTTTGTAGTGTACTTCTGAGATGAAAAGGGCTATAGAAACGTAGTCATATTATCGGTGCATGGTTTTCCCTTGTCATTGTTACTGCAATGTTTGCTGCCATGACTGTACTTGACCAGCCACATGAATCTTAACTATAGTTCACAGACAAGCCCTTTTTTCCTAAAACAGGAGTGAACAGAGCCAGACAGACCTATAATTCATTCCCAAACAGATGAAAATAGTTTCCAGTATCAAGAGAATTCAGTCTTTTAACAGCACACACCCAGACTGGTAAATTGCAGCTCAATGTCATGGGAGAAAAGCTTTGACTTTGTCAGCTGGTCTGGAAAAGAAGGCCATGCATTCTTTCAGATTATAAAGCTGCCCTGACTGGGTAGCCATTTGGCTGGAATACCCTGTCATCTCCACCACCCACTATTTGGAGATTGGTTTTGAGGCAGCACCATAAATGTTCCTTCCCTCCCCTACAACCTAATATTAGATTAATATAAAAAGGCACTGAATTCCCTGCAATAGTAGTTTCAGTAGCCGAGGTACCCATTGGAGCACTGAGGTGAGAGTCTCTACACCTCTACAGAACACCCTGGTTTTCTCCAGTCCATCCCACAAACAAGTCCACAAAACCCTATGAGATAATTCCTCACTACTAGTCCCATTTTTATGTGGGGAAACCAAAGCACAGAGCCATCCAGTGAAAGGTCAATTTTAAAAATAAACCTCTAGCTCTTCTACAAGAGAACTTTTTTTAGGGTCACTGATGCTTGAATCTAGCCTGAAAGTTTATTCTAATATTAGCAAAATAACCATTTTGTAGGAAGCTGACAGAGAGGTAGCTGTGTGCCTGTGAAAGCCTTGTAAATAGTTATTTCACAAACATACTGGGATCTATCAGTAGTTTGGTGTTTGAGGTAAGGCAGCTGGAGCCCCGAGTGTGCTGGGAACACCTCCATCTTCTTTCAGCCACCTCTGTGCCCTGTCCTTGACTGGTCTCAGACCTACAGGTCTCAGAAATTACATGCATTTTTGAGTTTTTTTGAAATATGCTGGTCTAATCCTAGTAAAGATGCCACTTGGGTGTAGGAACTCAGAACTGAGGACTACAACAGCTGCTTCCTCAGAAGAAGCTGTTTCGAACTATATCAGCTGTGGTTGCGCGGGGTAGTGGTGAGAGCCTGCACGGAGGCGAGGTGAGGGGAGGGTGCTCCTCTCCTCACCCAGTTCTCTTACAGTCCCTGCCGTCCAGTGTGCATCTCTGCTCACTGGCCCGCTGCAGGCTGTGTGGGTCAGGGGTTTGTGTTACAGAAAGGATCTGCTCTATCAGACTTGGTTTATTTTGTACCTCCACTCCCATAACTGCTTTTGCATTGCAGTTAGGCTAAGAGGCCTGTGCACTATGACAGCTGTAACACAAGCCATGTCCTGCTTCTTTTATCCAGACATGTGTTTCATATTGCTTATCCCCCCCCTTTCCCCCCCCGCCGCATATGTACAACATGGCTGTGGCTGGACAAGCCCTCAGCCAAACCCGTTAAGATTTTCTTTTGGCGAAGAAAACTTGGCATGTTTCTCTACCTCCCTCCCTCTCTTGCCCTTCTCCCCTCGCTCCTCCCTCCTCCCTTTTTTTTTTTTCCCCCCTAAACTTTGTTTTGCCTGTACTTTATTTGAGAAACTGTCTTAACTGCAACAAACAACCTACAGAGACCCTTCATTAGCAGGGTGGAAACTTCCCTCTATCCCCTTTGAACCTAGGGCTAGACTGGAGGCGTGTGGGTCTTAACTACTACATCTTCTCACACAGGCAGTTCCAATTCAGTGTTTGTACAACACGTAGGTCAGAAAGACCTGCCCTCCCCGGAGAGAAGTGGAAATACCTGATCCTTAACATTCCTCCCTACAGGCATGTGTAAGGTCGGGAAGACATCTTTATGTGAGAGTTGGCTTTCTGCCTCTCTCCCTACCTGTTTGTAAACAGCTGACTGCCCATGTGCCTCCTGGAAGAGGCAAGGGGTCCCAGCTCAGTGCTAGGAGCTGTAAGAGCTTCCAAATGGAGTTATCGGCTTCATATGGCAGAAAACAGGGGCTTACATGGTCAGTCTCCTTGCCAGCCCCCCTTTCTGTACCCAGCAGCAAAACAGAGATGGGAGCACAGGTCGTGGGACACCTCTCTATGTAAAACCAAAGCTTGGACTCAATGATCTTAAAGGTCTTTTCCAACCTCAATGATTCTATGATTTCATGTATTTGGGGGATCCTTTTCCTCTTCCTTCCTTTCTCATGCATTCAGACCTGACAGTCTTGTTACTGTAAACCATAGATGATGTATGTGTATGTAAGTGTTCTCTCTGAGCAGTGGTTTCTCATGCTGTTTTGAATAGTAAACCAGCATCTGTGCCTGATACACTAGCTGATTTTTTTAAAAATGCTCGTTAGAAGCTGTGTAAAATCTTTCCATTTATTTCTATTGGACACAGATGCTTAACTTGCACAGTATGCTAGTTCCCCAACCAGGGTTTGTTTTCTAAGCTCTCTGCTTCAGGATTTGGGGGATAAAACTTAGCTCCAGCTGGGAGGAGCTCTGGAGAAATGCTGTGGCTGGCACCCACTTGGTTTCACATGCGCTTTCCTGTGCTGGCAGCTACTCACTAGTGGCACACACTACTCTTACAGAGGAGCAGACCAGCTCGCTTGTCCACACTAAGTATTAATATATCAAGTCATCACAGCGGAGAATGCCCTGTGCTAGACCTGCTTATCAGCTAATGTCACATTCCTTAACAGCAACAGAAAAATGAGCAGCCAGCCTTTCTAATCGGCAAAGAAGTTGCTTACTCCGGCTCTGACTGTCGAAGCAATGCAAGACTGCAGGCTGGCTCCTTTTGTTAGCAGTACGGCTGCAGCGCAGCTTTCTGCAGCCCTAATAAAAGCTTTTCTCTCGCCACCTTTGCTCCTGAGTGTCCCTTGCAAACAAATTCAGGCTAGCGAGCTCTGCTCAATGGCTGATTCTGCAGTTCACCATAAAGAGAGCTACAAAAGCTCCAGCTACTTGCTAACTAGCTGAATGTTAAGGTGCTACGGTTGACCGCACACCAGCAATAGCTCAGCCTTACCCCAGCGGCGCCACGAACTCTTCTTCTCCTCTTGTTTTTCTTTCTGTCTTCTTAAACTTTCACGTCATCTCTCCGCTCATCCTGGCTTGTGTCTCGCTCCTCGCTCGGCTCCTCTCTGCTCTGCTGCTGACAGCCAGCTGTTGTCTCTGCCTTTTTTTTGTTATTGGTTGTCCTGGAGATAGGAAGTTTCGTGTTACATGTGTGCCAGAGAGGGAGGGCGGGCGGCAAGGAGCCACCGCAGCCGAGCCCGCTGCTGGTGCGAGCTCCCCGGAGTGCCTAAGTGCCAGCACTTGTTGCTCGCTTTCTCCGTGCATCTCCTCCTAGCAAGGTCTTTTCTTTTTTTTCCTTTTAATTACAGCTTTTTCTGGAGTGAGACTTGAATTGATTCTCTCCTTGCGATGGTTTGGGGGTGTGTTAAAGCAATTAACTTTTCTTTATGCTGCCCAGTTTCCTTCGGACTCCCGCGGGAAGGAGCTTTTCTCTTGTGTTCTTTGAAGGGGCAGAGCATGAAATCTCAAGGACAGCGCAGCACGGTCTGCCACTGACAGGGGAGCAGGGATGATGCTGGGGTGGTGAATTTGCTCCGTGCCCTTGGCCAAGTCATTTACTCTCTTGATGCTGTGGGTTTTGTTTCTTGTATTCTGGGGACAACTGACACCCACTGTCTTGTCTCAGAGGGTTCTTGAAGTTCAGATGATATTACAAAGGATGCAGTCCTTCAGACAGGTGCAAAATGATAATTTCTCATCAACCTCATAATTTGATCTTCTATGTTATAAAGCTCATTAAATGGCTTTCGTTCAGCAACTGGCTTCTATGTAACTAATTTGTCCTCATATGATTTTTGTCTTTTTTAATGTGTTCGTTTCTTGGCTTTATTCCAAGACTCACTGGGGGTTTTTTTGAGGGGGGGGACTTCTTCTGATGAGGCTATGTACCCTTCTTTGGCTCATATGAGGGAATGCTTTTTTATGGTATATTTTGGGAGAGGCAAAGCTTCTCTTGGGATATGTGACTTTGCTGCTTCTCTGACTGTCCATCTGCTTCTACTAATTGCAGGAATAGGGCTCCTGTTTTACCTGGTGTACAAAAGCAAAGAGTACCAAAAGGAGGCATGGTGCAGGCAGCAGTGTGGTCAGTTTAGCACTTTCCTGAAGTGTATTGCCACAGACAAAAACATGTTAGTAAACTTGATTGTTATTTGCTCTTCATCCCATCCCATGATGTCAAATCGGGGTAGGATGTCTGAAATGAAATAATGATTTTGTTTAGACATTTTAAAGATCAATGGTCAGCTCATACATACTCCTGTTGAAGGGTGAGGGAGGCAAATAATACAGTTGCATATTTAAAAGATGAAATAATTTTAGGATATCTATAATAATACAAACTACCATTAATTTATGTAAATCAGCTCTCCGTCTTGTAGGTATTAGTCAGGTGCTTGGGTGACTCAGGAAGTTTTCCCACCACATGTTAATGCATAACCCCAACTGTGTTTCAGGACCTCTTGTGTTCAGTTAAGCATTAATCCAGTGGTTACCCCCAAAATCCCTATTGGTAACTCTGGTTTTGGCCTTTTGACTTTCATTATAGGACTGCAATCTTAGTTCTGTAACTGAATTTCCGTTATGACCCAACTCCTGCGCACTGTTGGCTAAAGTGGGGCTGTGGGCCCGATGTGGGTAATTCTGCAGGAAGATGCAGACAGTTACAGGAGGCTGGATGGAAAGGGCTTGGCTGTACAAGCCTGATGGGTTAGAAACTAGAAGTCTAAATTCCAGTGACTTCAGAGCAGATCTCTGCTTCCACCAAAGCCCTCCCTTGGGGCATCTCTTTTGTTTGTATTAAGGGACAGAGGTGTGTGTGGTTGTCCCTCCCCAGCATAAGCCTGGTGAGTAGGCTGTAGGGAGTGAGGAGAAGGCTTGACCATTACAGTATGCCTGGGTTAACTCTAATACAGATCAGTGCGTGTGAAAGAAAGAGACACGGACTAATGAGAATGCCTGCCTGTTTTCTTTTGGGGAAACAAAAAGCTGACTTGCCGCTCGCTGACATTTCTATAGTCACGTTGCATTGGCAGGACAGACAGCACCAGTAGTTCTTTTGGAAAGGCAGGACAAGGGGATCGAATGTGTTGTCCCCATCCCGGTCCCCCCACCCTTCCCCACCATGTGAAAGGAGCTCTTTGAGTGCAAGACGAGACTGAGTCAGTGCAGCTCTGCAGGGGGATATAAAGCCAGCTTTGTAGTAGCCCTCTCTAGGCTTTCAGTGCCCTAGACCATGCGGTGCAACGTCACGCTGTTGCAGCCCTCCTTACCTGAGCAGCGCCAGGTCCTTCGCGCTTCAGCACACACATTTCTTTTGCTATGGCGACAGTAGTCTGTAACCTGCTGCTTTGCTGCTTCACTCGCTCTTCTGGTTGGTAAATTAACCTCCCAGGCTGTGGGAATGAGTGAGCCAGCTGCTGCTGTAGACCCTTGCAGGGTTTGTGATGCTTTGGTAGACATACGGTTATGTTCCTCCCAGACACACACATGCACGCACACAAGTTAAGCAAACTGTGTTTGGTAGATCTCTGACAAGTTCAGACATGCCTTAAAGGGTTTATAATGAGAATAAATGAAGTGCTCACTCTCTTACTTTTCCCCTCTCTGACCCACTTTTTGCAGATAAAGTTGGTAAGCCAACTAGGGCACTCCTTGGTGGAAAAGCAAAATCTCTGCTTTGTTCTTCCTTGCAGTGAAATAATTCTCTTCTAAAATAACTTTTGTTGCTGCTTGGCTGCAGGATTTGATCTCTAAATGCCTGATGAATTGTTTCTGTGTATCTGGTATCAGCATTTTGATTAAGAGACAACTGGCCACCTCTGCTGTGAAACCCGGGTTTTAAAAAGCTCCTCTAAATTCTGCCTGCTTTCTTAAAAAAAAAAAAAAAAGAAGAAAAAAGTAACCACCTGGTTCTTCTTTCTCTAGCAAAATCAGTGTCGTCGCTGGTTTAAGTTAGGGAGTGTTCTAGAAGAGAAATTACTTCCTGCCTGTATTGCTAATGAGCGTATCTTTGTCACTAAACTCTTTTTTACGTATCCAAAAGCACTGATGTCTGCCAGAAATCTTTTAAAGATTCCTGGAAGAATCTAATCATCTTCACATGGCTAGTTTGCTAAGGCTGGTAGAACTGGTTGTGCAATACTATATGAGCAAATGGACTGGTTTACATGGATGTAGGACTCTACCCGAACTTTGGCTGCTGATCTAAAGCATGTGTTAGCAGATCGAGACCCGGGCTGTATTATCTGAATAGGGCTCCCCTGTGACCTCAGTCTGGACTGTATTTCTGTGACTTAATTTACATTCTTGTTTCTTCAAATGTAGATTTCTTCACCTTCAAACCACAAACAATAAAATTAGAAGCTCTCCAATATGAAATATATAGACATACTCTGAACTCTGAGGTGTAGGGATCAACAGGACCTCTTTACATATTTATCCTAGAGCCATTCTGATTGGACATTGAATATATTTGGCCAATGGTGCTGACTTAATAACTGCATATTTCATCCACCTTGCCTTTTGCAGATCTCAAAGATCTGAAAGTATTTGGCAGAAGAGATTGACACCGCTGTTTGTTTTGCATGTGGGGAAAGTGGAGGCAGAGAGACCTTAAGCAAGGTGCCAGGAACAGAACCCTAGTTCTGTTCCAGGGCTTAATTGCTGTGATTCCTGCTGGAATAGGCATTCCCTGCAAAAAAAAGACTCAAGTCTTTATCAAAAGACACCTTGCATTTGGAGGGTGGAGCTCTTGCCAATAAAAATAATTACCAGATCATTTTCTCTTTTGTTTCCTAGATGTCGCCATGCTGCCATAGCGAAGTACTTTGGCGATGTCACCCCACCTTGTAACAAGTGCTGTGATTACTGCAAGAACCCAGGGGCAGTGAAAAGACAACTGGAGTCACTGGAGCGCTGCAGCAACAGCTGGAGCAAAACCTGCATTGGGCCCACAGGTTCCTCCTGGGATAGCTACGACCCAGAGCTGTACGAAGGCGGGAGGAGAGGTTGCAGAGGTTTTAGCAGGTCTGTACTTGGTAGCTCAAACTCAGTTCATAGGGGCTATCAGAGAAGAAAGCATCTCCCAGCTGCAGGCCCAGCCACTCCTATTTACAGCACATGTTTCTGTGTGGTGGTATTTTCCTGTAACTTCCTGGCAGCAGGAGCTGGAATTTCATTTTCCACACACTTTGGCAGCCTTGATCACATTCATGTCCCAGAGAGCCAAAAGCCGTTTTGACTGACCTAAGAATTGCCCTTCAGAATGTAATTGGTTCAAGAAACTAGCCTGAAATTTTTTGAAAGTGGTAAGTGGGCTCAGCCCATTCACAGTCTCAAGAATCAAAAATCTTTAAAGTGAGAACAACATGACAACAAAGTATGACATGGCCCAGAGTTCATTCCTGACTTAGTATGGCTGTCTGTGGGCCAGCAGGCTGGGGGGCCACTGACAGGACTTAAGTCATCACTGAGGATGTAATGGAATGCCAGTGTCAACTTCTTCTGCACATTGCTAAATTTTAGTGTTTCCCTATCAGGCTGACAGCAAAAGGAAGATGTACAGTGGGAAACATGATTAATTCTGTAATATGCTTGGCAGTATGGAGTTGACAACTTCTCTTCCTCCTTGTTCTCTGGCTGAGTTGCAGTGATTGTGAAGCTCTGCCAGGATGCACAGCGCTGTCAGCTGGCCTAGCCTTCTGCTTTACCTTAAACAGCTTGAGACTGGTAGCTTTGTTCTTCAGGCAAGTCCAGCTGAGTCAGAGGAAACTGGTGTACTTGTGACCTAAGCCCATGTTTGATCTCAGGACCTGAGAAGACACGGCCAATGCTGTTGTGCAGCACAGTGTTTGCACTTGATTTATTGAATGTCTCCATGACTTGATTGTAGCTTTGCCTTGGAAGTTGTAATAGTCAACAGCCTTAAAGCTCTGATTTGTGATACCTGTAAGTTTTGGCTGTGACAGCTGTGGAAGGCAGTAAACTGTTGGGCTACATCTGGTGAGAATCAGCTGCTGCATTTCAGTGTATTAGTGGTGGAGATTTCATTTAATA